AAAAAAAAAAAAAAAAGAGGCTCAACTTTAAGATACTGGGCCTGGCATGGTGGCACACACATGTAATCACCATCCTCCAGGAGGCTGGGGCAGGCAGGAGGATCATGAATTCAAAGACCAGCTTGGACTACATACCAACACTTTGAAAAGAGCAAAAACAAAAATATTGGAAAGCCACTGATGATATTTTTTAAATTGTAAAGTTTAAAATGATATATGCAGTTCTATCTGCTAGGTGCACAGAATTTCTAAATTTTTAAATTTTGGAAATCTGAAAATGAGTACATTTGTTTTCCTTGTGTTCATAAGTAGTAGAGTTTCCTGTAGTTTAAAAGCAAAACAAAGCCTGGCGTGTGGTACATGCCTATAATACCAGCACTCTGGGAGCATGAGGCAGGAGAATCTCAAGTCAAGCCCAGCCTGAACAACTTAGCAACCTAGCAAAACCCTGTCTCAAAATAAAAAAGGACTGGGTACGTGGCTTGGTGTGAAGGCCCTGAATTCAGTCCTCAGTACTGGGGCGGGGGTGAGGCATGGCAGGCAACCTCAAGTTATTTTCCCATTATTATGATCGAGGAAAAGGTACAATTATAGCTGAGCTGAAACCCTCTGAAGCCAGGGGCTGAGTTCCTGCCACATTGGTCACCTGCTCTTCAGGACCACTGATACCAAGTTGACATAGGTTTGCTTTCCTCCAGGCTCTCAGGAAATAGAAGCCCAGCTTCCGGGGAGAAGGGGTAGGAAGGAGCCAGAAAGACTCTACAGCATATTGACTCTTGCCATCAGCCCGGCAGTGAGCTGTCTTTCTTCATATTATTGAATTTAACTGTCACAGCTCTGAGCCACTGCTCCCTCTTCTGGATGGGGCAATGAAGTCTTAGCTTAGTGATGTGCTGAGAATTCATAGCTCATAAACAGCAGGCCAGGTTTACTCTAAAACCCACAGCTAACACGCACAGAAGCTGAGGATGCAATGCGAGGAATGAAGACCAAAAGAGTCAGGAGAAAAGCACTCATTAAAACGTCGGTGTGCCAATCTCTGTAGTAGATTATTAACACATCTTCTCAATTACCCAGCCCAACAACACTGATTTGGGCACTGTCACCTCAGATTACCACTTAGAGAAGTCAGGTGACTTTCTGGTCACTCTGCAATAAGAGCTGGGGCTGAGATTTGAATCTATTCTCTATCTTTTGCTTTCACCACGAACCAAAGAAGGAATTGAAGGAACATAGACTCTTACAGTGGTAGAAGAGAGAATGATAATAAAAGCCTGAAGATGTTAGAAATAGAAATATGTCCAGCCTAATGGCTACAAAATAGCAGTGCATAGTCTTGGACTAAACAGCCTGAACATCTTTAAGACTGTTTTTTATTTTGCTGAATTTAAGCTGTCAATTTTACGTGACCATTGAAAATGTTTCAGGTGGATTTTCAATTTGTCTAGTGATGAGTATGACTTCTGGGGTCTCCTAGATTAGATTCCCAACCCCTAAGCAGACAAACAGACGCCTCATGTGCAATTCAAGTGGGTCGAGTTTGAGTCAAATGTAGATAAATTCAATTAACCAGACCTCTGGTGTAATTGAAATTAATTTTGACATTTGAATTGCAGGACAATAAAGCAAGTTAGAGCTAAGTGTCCCCCCACCCCACCCCTCACGCCCAGAGGAACGTTTTTTTATGAGGGCCTATTTAGATCAGTGACTCATCCTGAACACATGTCAGGGTCTTATTTATGTCCTTCATCATCTGGTTGTATAATATTCTGTTAGGGTTGATGTTCGTTGCCAGTACCTGGGGTACCGAGGAGGCACTCGCCAGAGAAGGATAACACGATGTTAAATACACCCAGGCAAGAAAGTAACAAAAACCTCTGAAATATATTCAGAACCAGTGGGGCTCATTATGTTTCATTTACCTTGAAATAATAAATAGAATATTCCTAGACAGCTGAGCTAATTAAAGCCTTACCTGCTTGTGCTACAGGTGATGATAAAGTCAGACTGTTATACTCAAAGTCCTCCTTTCCCAGGGGCGCGCTGCTTCTTTCCGTCTGTCTTGCGTCAGTGTTCACTTCTTTGTGAGCAGTTCTCAGAAGACTCACTTGTGAACTAAGGGGAAGGCTTGCTGTACCACAGTAAGCAACAAAATTTCCAACTGCCCTCAGTGTTTGGTCTTTTGAGCTGCCTCTGAAGTCACAAGGTCTCGCCTGCTGGATCTGGGCTCCCGCTTCCACGTGCCAGCTGAGCAGGGAGGTTCTAGCAAGGGGGTGAGGTAAGAGCACCCAAGGGCCGCAGCAACACGGAGCAGAGGCCGCCTTCAGTTTGCCTACTGCTTCACTCATTCTTGCCCCCCCAGGCCAAGTTTGCATGCACGCGTACACACACGCGCGCGCACACACACACACACACACACACACACGTGACCCTGTTCCAATGGGAAACTGCAAGGTTAAATCTCCTCAGAGTGTCAGTCCTATTAGAATCCACTGATTCAAGCCAGATGTGAAGGTGTGTGCCTCCAGTCCCCTACTCTGAGAGGTTAAGGCTGGAGGATCACACGTTCGAGCCCTGCCTGGGCAACTGAGCAAGACCCTATTTAAAAAACGAAACAACCTGAATTCGATCCCCGGTGCAAAAAAACACCCTTTTTTTAAAGGGCTAGGGACATAGATAGCAAAGGCTCTCCAGTCAGTCCCCCGGTATTAAAAAATAAAGCCTTTGAACATACATTAAATAAAATAGTACGTGTAAAGAAAATAAACTTACCCAAACCTGGAAGATGCTATATGTCATATAACCAGAGAAGTGCTGTTATTTTTGCCTTTTATTCCTTTCCTAAAATACATTTTTTGTATCTTTAATAATCTTTGTTGTTAAACTCTGATGAAAGGCTTTTTCCAAATCCTTTTAAATATCTCCTGCTTGCCTTTTGGGGAGCTACATAGTTATATCAGAGCTTTTTAGAACATGAACTTTGTGAGAACTAAGGTCAGAGACTTGAGCTTCCCAGCCTGTTTCCGTGTGACTGCTCTCGTGTAAACTGGGACAGCCAGGGTAGGCACTCTCCATGGACCTTCGAACAGGCCCATCCCCCGTAGCACCGGCCACCCGGGCTGAGGCTGCTGGTTTCGGATGTGCCCTTCCCACTTAACGGTTCCTTTCTTTCGGATGGCTGTAGCCGCTTTACCTTTGCATTTCCTGAACCTGGCCTTGTACCTGATAAAATGGTTAACAGAAAGTCTTTATTGGATGAATGTTCCCTGCATAAATTCTAAGAGACTAAACATGTCTTTTGGTCTTGTTTTGTAGCGTCTGATGGCTGTAAAGTGCAAGATAAGAAAACTGCCTCCAGCCGCCCTTCTGCTACAGTTTCAGGACAAAATAGCAGCCACTCAGGAAATAAGCCAGGTATGATGCGTGGCATTTACTTTTTTTTTTTTTTTTTTTTTTTTTTTTTTTTT